AGCTGGGCCCTGGCTGCATCCTTCTGTGGGGAGTGATCCTGCTCCATTGCTGCGGGATCTGCGCCAGTGCAAAGTCAACCCCTTTTGTGGTGGGCTGGAGGGGGGATATGGCATCACTGGACCCAGCTGTTGATTCGCTGAAGCTGTTATCCAAGGGTGCAGCCAAGGGTTTGGAAACCAGCTCTGGACTGGGAATTTATGAGAAGTTAATGGGAATACCAGGAAAGGACAAAGAAACCGTGGGAAGGTCCCAGTGTTCCCAGCAAGCCAAGGGCAGTCTGGAGAGCAGCAGAAAGTTGCCAGCAAGCCCTAAAGACCTCCTAGATGGGCTCCAGTCCCACCATCCCTTTAAAAGTACTGGGGAATTCCTGGAAAACAGGGGGAATTTCATAGCAGGGTCCTAAAACCGTGTGGAGACTCCCCTGTGTTCCTGAGTGTTAACAGGGATCTGCATCCTGCTCCCAGCACAGGGATGCTGGATACAGCTCCAGCTCTTCTCCCTGTATGGGCAGCCCCGACCCGGGTGGAATGGGAACACTCACAGTTGGCAGGAGGGGAACAGCTTCCCAGAGCATCGGAGGAGCCCCCAGAAGTGTGGGACCTGATGGGCTTTCCTGTTCCCACTCCCTGGAGCTCTTGGCTGATGCAGAGAGGAAAAGCATCCCTCTCTTTGCGCAGGGAGATGTCTTTGCTGAGCCAGGCAAAACCGCAGCCAAGAGCCCCCAGAAATAATGGTGCAATTACTAAAGTCATTATCCTGGCTGCTGTACAAATCCTGCCCATTTAGTGTCCAACAGTGAGGGGGGGGCAGTGAGCGGGGCCTGCTTTAATTAAACCTTCCCAGCCAGTCGGAGGAGACAACTCCTGTTACCGCCTGTATTCCCGGAAAATAAAGGTCTCCCACTGCCGGGAATATCCCTCCATCCCCTGTGATGTAGGGCAGCTCCATGCGCTGGGCCACGGTGGTGGAGAGGGGAGGGATGGAAAGCGATGGGGTCCTCCACACCCCCTTGGGTTTGTGGTACCTGTCCCTGTCTGAAAGTCCCATCACAGGGACAAAGGTGCATGGGGAGGGGAGGTGGCTGGAGGCATCTCAAGGGGAGCACAACAAGGATGTGCTGGGGAGGGATGGGGAAAAAAGAGCCCTGATTGATAGCTGTTGGTGGTTGGGAGAAAACCCACAGCGTGAGAAAATGATGGGGGAGATGGAGGGATGGAGGGAGGGAGGGATGGATGGAGGGGTGGATGGAGGGATGGAGGGATGGATGGATGGAGGGGTGGATGCAGGGATGGAGGGGTGGATGCCAGGGATGGAGGGATGGATGGATGGAGGGGTGGATGGAGGGATGGATGGATGGAGGGGTGGATGGAGGGATGGATGGATGGAGGGAGGGATGGATGGATGGGGAGGGAGGGAGGAGGAGGAGGGAGGGAGGGATGGATGGATGGATGGATTGGAGGGAGGGAGGGAGGGAGGGAGGGAGGGAGGGAGAGAGGGAGGGATGGATGGATGGATGGAGGGAGGGAGGGATGGATGGATGGATGGAGGGAGGGAGGGATGGAGGGAGGGAGGGATGGATGGATGGATGGATTGGAGGGAGGGAGGGATGGATGGATGGAGGGAGGGAGGGATGGATGGATGGATGGATTGGAGGGAGGGAGGGGAGGGAGGGAGGGAGAGAGGGAGGGATGGATGGATGGATGGAGGGAGGGAGGGATGGATGGATGGATGGAGGAGGGAGGGATGGAGGGAGGGAGGGATGGATGGATGGATGGATTGGAGGGAGGGAGGGATGGATGGATGGAGGGAGGGAGGGATGGATGGATGGATGGATTGGAGGGAGGGAGGGAGGGAGGGGATGGGTGGATGGATGGAGGGAGGGAGGGAGGGAGGGAGGGAGGGAGGGTGGGAGGGATGGATGGATGGATGGATGGATGATGGATGGATGGATGGATGGATATGGATGGATGAGGAGGGGATGGGGAAGGAGAGTGGGGACAGCTGGGGCTGACCTCTAGAGAAAAATCCCTGTTTTCCCCCTCTTTCATTCCCTGATTTTGTGCTGCACAAAGGGGTCGGATGCTTTATGAGGTCTGTCTTGGTGGGGAGGGGGGTTAAGTGCGTATCAGTTCTTTAAGGAATCTTTAAGGCAGGATGGCGGGGGGACCAAGCATCCCTCTGGGAGGCAGAGGCATGGGGGTGCATCCCAGCTCTGCCCTCCCTCACAGGTGGTTGTGCAGCCTCACCACGCTGCCTTAAAATGCAAATTGCTCCTGCCTGCTGGGAGCAGATAGTAAAAGCTAAAAAGGAAAGAGGCAGTGGAGAACAAACAGGGAACAAAAGAGGGCGGAGAGGGGAGCCTGCCACAGAGCCTCCTTTTCCCATTAGTTTGCATATTTTCCCTTCAGTGAGATTTGGCTGTTTGGTGGGGAGTGTTTAATGGGAGCTGAAGCAGTAAGGCGCTGGGTTCAGACTAGCTGGGTGGCCTGTGCCAGTGGGTGCCACCAGCCCCCAGCACCAGTGTGGGCTGCAGCATCCCTAAATCACAGCATTCCACTGCTTTCCTGGGTCTTTTTTCATCCCATGTTCCAGCTGATCATTCCTGATGGGGAAAAATGAAATCTCAGCAGTTGGAGTGAAGGGAACCAGCTGGGAAAGGGACCAGGCTCCAGCGAAGCCTCCACAGTGTTCCCGTTTTCCTGGGCTTTATCCCCAGCATTTTGCCTGCTGCCTCCAAGGACATCAGGAACCCAAATACACGTTGGTGAGCTTCAGCTAATGGGATGGTGGGTGATGCTCAGGTGCAAGCGTGTATGTGTGCCTTTATAGGTGTCTGTATGTGCATACACGCACCTTTGCACCCTAGCAAAGCCCTTTGCATCAATGTACACACGGACTGCACACATACATCCTTTATATATATATATTTATTTATACAAATATATAAACATATATATGCATAGACATATTATATATGCATATATATACATTTGTATAAGGTATAAATATATACATATGTATGAAGTATCAATATATACATATTTATATATCAATATATAGATAGCTATACAGCTCTATAGAAGGTTTTGCTCTCTTCATTGAAAAGCAAAGCCACGCTGAGCAGGTCTCTCGCCCTCCCTGGTGCCCTCACCCAGCACTGCACCATCCCCATAAGCAGGGATGCTGGATGGAGGTGCCTGGGTGGCAAGAGCTGCTGGCAGGACATGGGCATGAGAGCATCATCAACCCCTGCCAACAGCTTGGGCTCCCCTGGGCCCATGGGTGCTGCCTTCCCCAGGGCTCGTGGAGACCCGAGACAGATCCATCAGCCGAAATGGGAAGCGATGGGCTGGAAAACCAGTGCTGATGCTTGGTGTCAGATCTTGGGCCTGGCTGCAGCCATTGAGCACTGCTCAAGGGGGGCTGGTGGAAAGCAGCCAGAAGAAGGGGGCGAGGAGCAAACCCTGTCATCAGCTCAGCCACAAGGACACCTCATGCTGATTCTGTTCAAGCTACCTCATCCCTGACCCACCACCTTCCACCTCCCTTGGGATGTGCTCACGGAGCAGGATGCTGTGTTATTACAAGGATGAGATTTTATTACGCACTTTTCTTACCTTCCCCCTCTGCTTTTTCATTTATTACTCCTTTTTTAACAGCTATTCATAGATGTTAATGTAACAGGGAGGTTTGGCACTTCCAAGCAGGGAAGTCAGCTGTATTAATTTCACTGCTTGGAGCTGCTATCAGCTTAGTGGCTTGTTCAGCCAGACCTGGGTCCTTTAGATAACAGGGCACAGCAAAACCTAACAACTGCATCATCCTCCTGGCCTTTGAGCACATCTCAATCCCCCTGTATATATGTATATATAAATTCAGCACAGAACTAGCAGGTAACTTTTAAGGCCTCTGATAAACTCTTTAAAGAGGCTTTTGAAACACAGCACACAACCACGGGCTGCTGCTTGCCCAGCAGGGAAACCGAGGCACTGGGGCCAGCAAAGATGGGGCTGCAGCATCGCCTGGCCCTGACCCCCGAGCTGTGATCAGGCTGCCCAAGGGAGGAGGGGTTTGGAGTGGGGAAGCCCCACATCCACAGCTTTGACCCCAAAGCGCTCAGAGCTTAGGAAGGGGGCCCAGGACCCTGTCAGTGTGTGTATGTGTGTGTGTGTGTGTGTGTGTGTATCCATCCCAAACCACTGGTAGCATCCCCTCCGCGGGCACCCCAGCAGCGATACAGCCCCTCACAGTGCTGCAATACCGTTTGGTTTTGGCTTTTTGTTTTGTTGTTTTTTTCTTTTCTGGACTTTTATTTAAGAAAAAAATAAAATAAAGAAAGAGACACAGTGGTGGGTAACTTCCAATCCAGAAATAATCCCCTGCCAGCCTCCGCTCCCCCTCCACTAGGTGATGCTGGAGAGGGTCCCCATCCCCGAGCCATCAGTGACCATAGGACCACCGGCCCTGGTAACCATGGGGTGAACCTGGCTGAGGATGCTCTCACTGGACATGGGGTTGCCCTGGGCTGGCAGAGGCCTCTCCAATGAGCCAGAGGGGCTGGGAGCTGCCACCAGCATGGGGTGAGCGGGGAGGTGTTGGGTTATGGCAGTCAGAAGGCACCACAGAGGCTGAGCCTGGCTCCGGGCATCCACACTGGGCTGGCACTGGGGAATGGGCACTGGGAGACTCAGGCCAGGTCCGTTTGTGTCCCACTTGCAGTAGTGGGAAGCCTCCACAGCACCTCCCAGTCCCAGAGCTACATCCCATCAGCAGCGGCGCAGGAACCAGCCCTGGAGGTCCCAGCAGGGCTGTTGGGTGACCCCATAGCTGGGAGCACAGGGAGACACAAGGACAGGCAAGCTCATAGGCAGCAGGCTTGGTGGCCACCCCAAACTGCCCCTGCCCAGGCAGCGAGATGGGGCAGAGGCAGCTGCCGTGCTCCCCAGGAGGTCCTCATGTGGCAAACATTAGTGTCAGCATCCCACAGGACTCACAGCATTTAGTGCTGATACAGCAGGTGGTGGTGATAGCAGTGCCCCAGCCCCGTGGCCGTGGGTCTCGGATCCCCATCCTGCATCACTCACAGCACGGGGCAGCAGGCTTTGGCTGGGGCAGCCCCACAACGCTCCAACAGCAGATCCCTGAACCAGCACTCACCTCCACAGTTGTGCCACCGAGTGCAGCAAAGGCAGGGGGGTGCCTTCGGGAAGCCCCCACCAGCCACCTTCCCGCTGAGCATCTCTTCTCTTCCACTCCCTGCACAGCAGGACCCGCAGCATCATCCTGCCCTGTGCACCACTGGACACGCACAGAGGTTCTAACCCCATCCATCTCTGCCCCCCACCCCGGCTCCCTTTTCTGCCCCCCACCACAAGCCAGCGGGTTGAGGGGGCCACACGTGTGCTTGATGCCTCCTCTGGGAAAACCAGATGATAAAGGGCACGGGAAGAACAAGGCCCCAGTGGGTGCCTTCCAACGGGGTGAGGACGTGAGATGTGCGGAAGAGGGGATGCGCAAAAGAGAGCTGAACGTGGGTCTCCAGCCCCGGGGACACGGCTGGCGTGGCGTGGCGTGGCACGGCGTGGCGTGGCACAGCGTGGCAGCCCCCTCCCTCCCGCCCCATCCCCTCTGCCCCTGCGCTAAGCGATCTCTTTGATTCTGCGGATGTAGTTGTGAAGCTCTTCAGGGTCTTGCAGCCCCATGTCCTGGCAGACCCACTCCAAGTCCTCCTCATCAGCGATGGGGATGGAGTTGTAGGCCAGCTCGTCGGAGGGCAGCGTGGCGAAGGTGGTGAACTTCACCCGCTTCCGTTTGGAGGTGGGGGAGTTGAGCGGGTCCTCGCTCTGGTCCCGTGTGGAGCCCCCCGAGGAGCCGTCCCCACGGCCATGGACCTGGCTCTGCACGCTGGTCTGTGAGCTCCCGCTGCTGTGGTGGTCCCCGTGGCAGCAGGTCTGGACGTTTTCCAGCGGGTTCCCAGGGCTTTCGGGCTGGGGGGAGAGGTCATTGTGAGCCCGCAAGGGCTGCCCGTTGCCCAGGAAGACCCAGTGGTGGGAATGGTCCATGTTGGTCTGGCCTTCAGGCGGGATACGTTTGTGCCGGTATTTCAGCACAAAGACAATGCAGTTGATGAGGAAGACCAAGATGGCCAGGCAGAAGACACCCAGGAGGGCGTACATGCCTATCTCCAGGTCTGTGAGCCCCCTGGTCACCTGGACAAAGCCCGTGGGGATGGTGGGGAAGTCCTCGGTGGGATGGGATGCGCTGGACATCCTACTGTCCTCGCTCGGCTCCGCTTTCCTCTCCACCTCTGCCCGCAGGGGTGGTGCTTGCCCCCGTCTCCGCCAGCCCTGGCTTGCTGGGGACGTGGTCATAGTCATAGGTTGGGTCCTCCTCGGACCCAAAGTGGACCCGCACGTTGGCCAAGGCTGTGAAGAGGACGCTCTTGCGCTTGGTCTTCTGGCAGCTCTCGCAGATGACCAGCTCAACCCGCAGCAGCTCCCCTGCGCCCTCGCTCTGTGCCACCACCAAAGGGAACGCGCGGTCCTGGGTCACCGAGACCACCTTCTCATCCAGGCTGCTCACCACCAGGTTGTAGTCCTTGGGGTCGTAGAGGGACAGGGGGGCCGTGGTGCCGTCGCTGTAGGAAATCCACAGGCTCAGGAGCGCTTCCTGCGGGACCAACACAGGCACCGGTTGCCCAGCAGGATGCCAGTCCCACCTGCACCCATTTGTCCATCCCTCCATCAATCTCTCCTCCTTTTCATCCTTCTCCCGGTCCAATTCACCCTTTATCCCTCCATCATCCATCTTATTCCTACCAAACATCACCTAGGTTTCCCTTTTTACATCTTCTTTCCTCAGTGTTCCCCATGTTTGCCCAGGCTCACTCCAAATCCCAGCCCCGGAGGTGCCAGATGTGGCTACCGAAGCTATAGGATTTGTTCCAAGCCCCTTTGTCCCCACGGTTGCATCCTGCCCTTGGGGCAGGGTTGGTTCACAAGTGTGTGAAGGTTTCTGGGGTGCTCTGAGGGTCCGGGATGACCGTGAGCAGGATTTGGGAGGGGAGGTTTACAGGTGGAGCCCTCACCCAACCCAAGCTCCCCACCAAGCCCACGTGCACCCTCCTGGCCTCACCTGCTTGAAGAAGCTGAGGTTCTGCTGCACGGACGTCCGGGCAATGATGGTGTGGCTATTGCCAGGGCTGGGGTGGAGGGACAGCGAGAGGCTGGAGACCACCTGGGCCTTCAGGTCCGTGATGCTCACCTTCTCCTCCGCCACCGTCACCAGCGTCTCACCCAGCACCGCTTCCATGAGCGGGGACACAACCTGCAGGGGACCAGGGTACCCATCACCTCCTGCCACCCCAAGCCAAGCTGGCAGAGGTGGGGAGATGGGGTACCTTGAAGAGCGTGGTGCCGGGCTCCCTGCCGGCCAGCGTGAAGCTGTCCACCATGTGGGCCACCCGTGGGTCATCCACACGCATGAAGTCGCTGACCAGGTCGGTGACCTCCACCAGCCAGTCGGGCCCTAGCATGGTGACCACTTGCTCCGTGCCCTCCGCCGCCGTGGTGTGGAACTGGGTGAAGACCTGCAGCGTGGTGTGCTGGTACTGCAGGGCACAGCCCCGGCTCTGCCTCCGCTCCTCCTCATCCTCCTCGTGTTCGCTGTCCCGCACCAACCTGCGGGATGGGGCAGTGGTGGTGGGCAGTGCTACCGAGCTCCTCATTGCCCTCACAGGAAGGGAGAAGGGGGGCCAGGCAGGGACAAACACCAGGTCACCAAAAGATGCCTGTTGCCCATAAGGTTTTAGCAGCACATGGTAACAGGGTCACCAGCATCTCTGCCCCCTAACCAGCTGAGAGGAGCAGACATCTCATCTGGAGGGCAACGAGGATGCTCGGGGGCTGGAGCACCCTATGGAGACAGGCTGAGAAAGTTGGGGCTGTTCAGCCTGGAGAAGAGAAGCTGCGTGGAGACCTCAGAGCAGCTTCCAGTGTCTGAAGGGGGCCTATAGGGATGCTGGGGAGGGACTCTTCATTAGGGACTGTGGTGACAGGACAAGGGGTAACGGGTTAAAACTTAAACAGGGGAAGTTTAGATTGGATATAAGGAGGAAATTCTTTCCTGTTAGGGTGGTGAGGCACTGGAATGGGTTGCCCAGGGAGGTTGTGAATGCTCCATCCCTGGCAGTGTTCAAGGCCAGGTTGGACAGAGCCTTGGGTGAAATGGTTTAGTGTGAGGTGTCCCTGCCCATGGCAGGGGGGTTGGAACTGGATGATCTCAAGGTCCTTTCCAACCCAAACCATTCTGATTCTATGATCTCAAGTTGGGATGGGCAACTGGAGGTCTCTAGACCTCAAAGCAGGGCTAACTTTGGAGCTTGGTTGTTCCTGGCCTCCTCCAGGGACGTTTTGACCATTGCCAAGGATGGATGCTCCCAACCAGCTCCAGCTGTTGTGCTGGTCCCTGGGTGTTATAATTCTCCCAATATAATGTATTTATTGGTCAATATAATTGACCAACCTCACTGTGAGGTTTTCCTCCTTCCATACAAACACGCAACCTGTAGCCACGCTCTCTCACCACTTCATAGGGCTCCTGAGACAACGCTGGCCCCATCACCCTCAACCCCCCCTCATTAAAGATCCAAACAAGGCAACTCGACCACTACCACCACCTTCACTGTGCCTCCTTCAGGCTGGACAGACCCCCCGGCACGGTGACTCCGCAGCACCCACCTCCTGTCCGGCAGGATGGGCACCCTCCAGCCCTTCACTTGGCTCAAGCGGGCGTCTGAGAGCTCGATGTGCAGCGGCAGCTTGGGCACCCACACTGTCATCTCCAGCGGGGCAGAGAGGTGCTCGTAGGTGAAGGTGACCCGGGCGCTCATGGAGCCCCGCGACTCCTTCCCACTGACAAAGACGTAGTCACAGCTGCTGGAGACCTGGGGGAGAAGGGAGGATGGAGGGTTACAGCAGCCCTACAGACACACCGGAGATCCCGGAAGGAGCCTGCCCAGAGGATGGGAAGTGCTGAAACAAGAGAATTTCACCACCATGTACCCAGAAAAAGGTGGCCCCGGGAGCAAAGATGCTCTCTGCTCCTGGAGATCCTTGCTCAGAAGCACGGACCCACACACACCATGTCCATAATGCAAATTTCCCTCTTGCCCCCTCAACCAGACACCATCATTTGATGCCTCAGTCTCTTTGGCACTGAATTGTATCCTTATTCTGCTCTCAAGCTGGAGGCACCCATGGGTGCTTCACAGGGGTTACACGTTGCTCATGCTGGACATCTGCCCCAAAGTCTCCTCCACCCATACCCAGAGGGCACAGGCAGCAAGCACAGACCCACTGCGTGTCCATGTGCAGGTACCCCCCAGTGCCTTGTCCCCGTCCCTCCTGCTAACACCACAGAGAGCTTCCTGCAGCTCATCTGAATCCTCATCTTCATCTTCTCGCCCTTTCTCTTTTAATTCCCATCTATGCAAATGCCATTGGTTAAATTTGCTATAAAACAAATACATGCCACAGGGGACCACTTATTACTGATCAACCTGACCCGCTGAGAGGATGCCAATGCAGCATCACCTGTGTTTCAGCTTAGGCAATCAGAGTCAACAGCTCCTTCCCAGCAAGGCAGACTACAACCGGGCCAAGGGAACTCCAACCTCTCATCTGCAGTGGCCCCATGGCTCAATACTGACTCCCTTTTTCCCCTCCTACACCATCAGGAATTGCATCCAAGTCGTTTGCTGCTGGAGAAGATTAAAACCCATTGGCCCAGCCAGCAGCGCAGATGCACCAAGCATCTCACAACAGCACAGAAGGACTTATTTCCAACAAGCCGTTCTCCCACGTGGATTCTCCGATGGCTGATAAGGGGCTGAGTCTGTGCTGCACGGTAGCTGACAGCAGAGGTGCAAGCGTCGCTGCCACTCTCCCCACCTTATCTTTGGGCACCTGTGGTCATTCAGCTGCAGGAGCTTTGCATCTCCAAGCCAGCAAGCCTGACTCCTGCAGAGGCTCCACGTGTTGGCTGCAGGAGCCTCCTGCAAGGTGCCTGTGCTCCCCAGGCAGAGCCCAGGACCCAAAGCCTTGGGAAGCTCCTGCTCCGCGGGCACGGGAGGGAAGTGCAATGCAGGAGGGGCTGTTCCTTGTCTTCCTATCGGATACCAGCTCAGCACGTCCGAAAAGACAATCTCATCTCTGTCGGGGCAGCGTCTGAATAAAGATGAGCTCCTGGGTGAACCCTCCAGCAAAGGAGGGCTCTGGATATTGTGCCATTTATCACAATACATACGGTGGGTTGCTGCTTGCGTTACCTTAGCTAATAAACCCTCCCCCTGCAACTTCTGGGGGACCGCTTGCTTTGCAATTGGGAAAGGCGGGGAGGGTTACAGCTATGACAACAAAATATCCCAGCCCATCAGGGCTGTCCTGACGATGGAGTGACTGCAGATGAGGTTCTAAATGAAGCGCACGCTTGTTCAGAGAAACTTCCCGGATCTGCAGCGCGGCGTCGGGAAGCGAGAGGCTGAGGTCTGCCTGGGCTCCGAGCCAAGGCACTGCTGGCTCCGCTTCTGTGGCCAGGAGCTTCCCCCTTGGCACAGCCTCAGGCATGCAATCAAGCTGCAATATCTGCTCCAAGGGCCTGGGGAGTGGGAAGAGGCACCACAGCTGATGGCGCCCAGGGGGTCCTGGTGGTGGCTGTGGGTCACGGAGGCTCAGTCCCACTTGCTCCTAGTGCGTCCTCAAGCAGGTGTGGATGGTGGGCTCCCGAGAAAAGTTCACAGAGCAAATGATGGTGAGCATCTCCCATTGAGCATTGCTGGCAACAGAGGTGGGCTTGTGGCTTGTGCATCCCTTAGCGCATACAGAGCCCCCAAGGCCGCCGCATGGGCAGGCAACGGGGGCTATTTCTACACTACCGCAAGTGACGAGGTCCTCCTCTATGGGCCGAGCACGGGCATTCACCCTGTGTCATCACAGAGGGGGTGAGGATGACAACTGCCACCCACGCTCACCCACCGCCCTTCGTGAGCAGCCCTGCCAACTTCACAGCCACATCCAGAACACGTTCCCTCCACGTTCCACATGAGAGCGAGCGGCACCAAGCCACAGGCAGCGTGGGGAGAAGCGTCTCCCCAGCCCTCATTCATGCTAAATTATTTACGGTAACAGATAGCACATCCCACTATGTAAGCTCTGATTTATGTAACAGGTTTATAGCCCTGACACCGCAATCATACTCCCCGATCTCAGCAGGTAACCGAGAGCTCCCTCAGAAGCGAAGCTCCAGCACAAACACAAAATAACTCAGCAAGCAATTGCACGGGGCTCCGAGCAGCGAGCGGGAGGCGAGCCGGGGCCGGAGGGCTGCTCCATGCATTATTCATCCCGGCTCGTGTGCATGTGTCTGCTCCCCCCCCCACACCCTGGGCTGGGGACAGTGCGTAAATAGATTTATGAGTAGAAAGGCAGCACATTAAACAGTTTAAGTGTCTTGGAGTCCATCCTGAAGTGTATTATTGCTCCAGTGTTTTATCACACTGCAGAGGAGCGGGCTCCATAAATTAGGGCCGGGGCTGTAAATCGCACAGATTGGAGTTTCAGTCAAGAACTTGGGTAAACACTTTGTGACACTGCCTGTCACCCAGCCAGGGACCAACAGGGAGAGAAAGTCCCAATGGAGCTGGGGTTCTGCTCATCACCCCTGGCTTGGCCACTGGCTGCTGGCGAACAAGGGGAGAAGGGGCTATGAACCCCCAGCACGGCTCTCTGCCCAGTCCAGCAGAGACATGGAGAGGGTGGGCTGGGAGGGTGCGTGCAGGGAGAGGGGCAGGAGGTGTTTGGGAGAAGGTAATGATGTCTAGGGGTGGATGGGTGGGGGGAAATGGTGACAGAATAATGCAGGCAGGTGGAGAGATGGATACATACAAGGGAAGGAAAATGCATATGGATGGATGGGTCTGGTGATGGAAAAATCATGGCTGGATTTGAGGACAGTGCTGCCTCAGCTGCTGCTGCAACAGCGAGCCCTTTGCACTCACCTGATCAGCATCTCTCCCATGCAGCCCATGGTGCTCCTCTCTCTCAGCCCCCCTTTTCCCTCCATCCTCCCCAACTGCCCAGCTCATTCCCACATCCCTCTCTGGGGCCAGCCTGGTACCCAATCCGAACATGAGATAAACGTCACCTGGAGGCACGAGTGAAGCTGCTGATGGAAACCTGCAGCTTACACCGCGAGGTGACAATATTTCACCTTATCAGCACTAAGTGCTCTGATAACCCGTAGTTATTGCTGCTGCCTGGTGCCAGCCTGCACAGTGCCAGCATCCCACAGCCTCTCTGGAGACAGTGACAAAGCATCTTGTCCTTCTCCCAGCAGATCCCAGGGAGAGGCACGCATGGACTGAAGCCACTGCGGGGATGATGTTTTGGATGCTGTGGGGTTGTGCAGCCCGTCAGCTCAGCCGCCAGTCCCAGTTAGCATCACTATTGGGCTCAGCACCCCTGGAAGAGGCTCAGCCCCTCATGAGGGTCACAGGAGCCCCCAACCCACACCCACCTTGATGATGTCTTCGTTGTTGGACTTGCACTCAACCATAGCAGAGACATCCACGATGACACCGCTCAGCTCAATGGCGATGACCTTCACGGGGATGGCCACCGTCCGCCCCGTCAGGATGGCCGTGTTGATGATTTCCGTGTCCTGGGGTGCAAAGGGGACTGTCACGTTAGAGGGCAGCCTCAACATCCTGGCTGGCCCCTCTCCTGCTCCAGCCCTGGGGCAGAGAAGGACCTGTGGGTGGGAGGCGGGGTGGGATGTACGGATGTATAGGTGCTAGGGGGCAGATGGGCTGAGGGAGGTCCCTCAGGGGGGATGCAACCCATCCCCAGCATAAGCTCAGCAGAGGACCTGGACCCGCTCACCATGGCCAGGGGCACGATGGCCCTGATGTCCCTCTGGATGACCGTCAGCTCCGTCACCACCTTCTCCAGGTCGGGCGGCGGGTTGCGGCCCCGGTAGTCGATGTGCCACATGATGCGGCGCGTCACCGACTGGCTGGTGAAGTTCTCCATCTCGAAATCCAGCTGCATGATCTCCGAGGAGTCCCCGTCCCTGGGCAGGAGACAGGAGGGGACACAGTGAGCCGGGTGCCCCAGGTCCCATAGGCTCCCGGGGACCAGGACCCTCTATGGATGCAGAGCATGCAAGGCTGCTGGGTGATAGCTTATCACGGGGTGAGTGTGTGGCCATGGCCCTGGGGACAGTGGGTGGCTGCAGGTGCTTCCCTGCCTCTCCAGCTCCATCTTCCCAGCAGCAGAGCTGTATTTCCCATCAGCAGAACTGGATTTACCACCCCACACTGCTCCTGCCTCCATGCTCATCTCTGCAGGGGCCCCCTGCACCCAGGAGGGCAGCATGCTCAAGGACACGACATAAAGTCTCTATACAAGAGCCCAGTCCAAGCCACTGACTTTACAGCACTTTCCAAGGGGATCATATGGGGAAACTGAGGCACGGGAGAAAGAGATTCAATCACAGACAGCAGGTGAGAGAACACCAAGCTGTGACACGGTGCAGGGCTGTCCCTCAGCCTGTATGGACAGCCGTGGGGATGCAGAGGGCAGATGGGCAGGGGATGGGTGAGGTAAGACAGGAGCAGCAGGTGGTAACAGCTCCAGTACCATCAGCTCATCAAACCCCCCCACATTTAATGGACAGGGAATGAACTGTGGGGCAATCCCAAGGCAGGACGGGCTGGAGAGGCTGGGTGCTGCCAAACCCAGCACATAGTGCCTAAGGGGACAGGGAACTCAGGAGCTGGTGTCCCTTGTCCTCTGCATCCTAGCTTGGACACGGTCTGACAGCAGCATAAATCATCACTCTCACACCTCACCCCTATGAGCAAACATCCCCAGATGCGACCCTGCCCTCCTATCTCTTGTGTCCAACCTGCAAATCCCTTAAGGGGACCCAGGGATCAACCCCTCCCCAGGTTAAACTTCTCCACTGCTCCCCCAAACCAGAGCATCCTCAGGGGACACCCCAGAGCCCCCACAAACTGCAGAGCCAACAAAAGCCCTCCCAGAGCTGGAGGAGGGAGTGGGGTGAGGAAAGGTGAAATCCCTATGGATTGGGAAGCCGGGATCGGCTCCGCTCTCATCTCACAGCACAGCAGCCGTTAAGGAGGTCCCAGCGATCCGGGGATGCAGGATGCACTTGCGTTTCTCTCTGATAAATATCTAATGAGTGAAAGGGAGCAGAGATAGAGGAGGGCAAAACTACTGGGCTGCCCCAGGGCACGGCAAGCCCTGCTCTGTGCTCCCACAGCAGGGACAATGGGCTTTGCATTGGCTGGTGAGGTCCTGATGGGACTTTGTGCCCCTAGGGTTGTCACCCTATGGGAGTGCAAGGGAATCGCCAAAGGCCACCCAGTCTGGAGAAGGGGATTGGGCTGCTCTCTACCTCTTTCAGTGCATAAGTATTAAGTACAGCCAGGAAGAGCCAGGTTCAAAGGCAAACCAGAGCTGCAGCTGCATGTCAGAGGTGACTCCTTGACATGGGGTGCCCACGGGATGCCACCATCTTCTGCCCTCCCCGAGCATCATCTGCCCTCAGCCACGGCAGAGACAAGAGCAGGGCTGCTCAGGCTGGTGGAATAACTTAGGATGCAGCCGGGGTGCAACAGAACACCCCAAATTAGCTATTATCACCCCAAAGCTCAGGGCTTTCTCTGCACAGCCAAAAGCCCCCAGAGCCCCAGCAAGGCAACCTCCTCCGGCAGCGCAGCCCGCAGGGCAACACGGCTTCGAGTCATTCCTACTTGCCATTGCGTTAATATTTGATGGAGTTGTTTGTCTGAAAGGTGATTGTAATCACTTTAAATTCATCCTCCGTCTCTAACCTTTCCTGCCTGATGTGAAGCAGCGGTGGCAGGCAGGGAGAGGGGGAAGGGACAGGGGAGAGGAGCTCGCTGCTGGCAGCATGCATAGGGCTGGCCATGCAGAGGAGGGGGGGGCTCATGGCTCTGGGGACACTCTGGTGTCCGTCATCATCCCCCAGAGGACATCACATCCCGGAGCTGCGGGCTGGGATGCTGCGGCTGCGTTTTGGAAGCAATGGAAAATCCACCCTCCGGGTAAGCCCTTTGGAGGGGGGCCTGCAGATGGGTTTTGAGCTCACGTTCAAAGCGGTCAGAGCTGAGCTTCTCCTTTCTGCAGGAGGTCAGCCCCTGCTTCCCTCAGTGTGGGGCAGATATCAGGAGATTCCCTATGCAGAGAGCGGGGATCACATCAACTCACTTAACCCAGCTCCCGGAGGTACTTGCCTCCCTTTTCCCATAGGCACAGTGATGGAGAACTATTGCTTTCCAGCACTTCAGAGACTCCTGTTAATGGTTTTGACACTGCGCCCATCCCCTGCCCTTGCTCACCGCGTCCTACCCACATGGATGCAAGGAGCAAAGCTGCCCCTTGCTCTTGCAGCCTCCACAGCCTCCCCTTCTCCAGACTGAACAACCTCTGGGTTTTCACCTTGGCTTTGTGGGTCCTTGCTCCTTTGGACCATCTCATTTCTCTTCCCCGGACTCTACTCAAACGACCCGAGCCTTTCCTGGTGCCCCATCAATGAGCATCATCCTTGTGTTAAGCAGGGCAGAACTTGCTCTGCCCATCTCAGGTGCTGCCTTGGTTCAAGCTCCCCCTCTGACACTCATCCATCATCCAGAGAGACGTTGACTGGGGACTGCTCCTCTTCCTTCCCAGAGGAGACACCAGGATAGTCAACAAAGAGCTGCTGCCTCTCATGGTATTAGACCTTCTTTTAAACCCACAACACTTCCACTCCAAACTGGGGATGCTCCATGGCTTCACAATTCAGCCTCCAAATCCACCGCCTATATCCTCCAGCATCCAGGTAATCCCAGCTCAGAGCCAGGGATGCAGCTGCTCAATGGTACCCATGACTTAGGAGCACTTGCTTGAGCCCCAGCTTGGCTCCCTGTGTTGACCATGGAGCAGATCCCACCTGAATGCACCACCAGCCCTTGGGCAGCTGCCTGCCTGACCGCAAACCTGCCCACCTTGGGCCATGAATCCCACCTTCACCTTCCCCCTAGCCTGCTACATGGTGCCGGATGGTTAAAAACCACACACGACATCAAGCCCCTTCCCAAACCAGTGCAAGGCCTGCCCCAACCTCAGCTGGCTTTGAGGGCTTGACCTCAACACTGCTCACAGTCCAAGCCGTGCCTCAGTTTCCCCTACCAGCACCCACTTGGCACTGCAGCCAGCCGGACACCCGGCGCGAGGGCAAAGGGAGACCCGCTCCATGTCAAACCCCAGCCATTTCCCCCCAGTCCCCTGGTTATGGGGGGCAGGCACAGGGGGGCCCTTACCTGGGCCCAGCACCGTCCACCCTGGAGACATCCACAGTGGCAGTGGAGTGCTTGCCACCCGTCAGCAGCTCCGAGCTCACCAGCCACTGCCCACTCCTTGACTTGGTGCTGAGCAGGTTGACACCCTTCTTGGCCTTCACCCTGTGGAGAGCGATGGTCAGGGATGGATCCTCACCCCCGGCACCCCTGGACCCTCCCCTAGGGGGATTTTTGCCCTTGATCCCTCCTGGCTGTAGGAAACACCATCCAGGCTGTCAGCAGCAGCCATGGGGCTCAGCCCACCCCAGCCCCTCGTTCCCATAGGATTTTGCCTCACACCATCCAGCAGTTTTGTCCCCCATCCCAGTGCTGCCCCACAGAACAGTAGCAGCAGCCCCCTTGTCATTCCACACCTTGTTCCCAAAGTGCCTGTGAACAAACCCACATCTGTTGGTGGGGCCCTAATCCCAGTGCAACTGGGCAAAGGCAGCAGTCCATAGTGGCAACGCAGAGATGGAAACCCTGGACGGACAGCCCTTCCCTTCAACAAGGTCCTACTGCAAAGCCCCAGAACATTGCTGGGTGCATCTCTGGCCTCCCTCAGCTTCCCAAAGCCCTGCCAGCAGGTTCCATACACGCAATATGCCGTTCCATCCCCTCCTTCCTGCCCGCAGCTGCCTTTGCACAGCACTGCCAAAACAACCCCATCATTGAAAGGATGGAGTGGGGACAGCCCCAGCACCTTACCTGAGGGTGAAGTGCTCCACGGTGGAGTTGGACATCAGGTAGAGGAGGATGCTGAGCACCTCGCCTGGCTTGAGGGGCTTGTCGGGCAGGCGGATGAAGACGTTGCCATCCAGCCGATGCTCCTGCATGGGCTGCCCCGGGCCGGGCTGCAGGAGGCTGACGCTGCCGATGCGCAGCAGCGGGTGCTGGGTGGGACCCTCAGTCCTGGCTCCCCCAGCCCCACGGCGGGGAACCATCTCCCCAAGGCACTGTCCGGCCCCATCGGGGGCATGCAGGGTGTAGTAGAGCTCGGCTTGCTGGCTCTCACCCGGCACCTCCAGGCTCTCGGGGCTCTTCCGCCTGCCCAGCGGCACAGCCGGGGGTCCGAACCAGGCGTGGGGCAGCTCTGCCTGCACCAGGCACATGGCCAGGCTGCCCCGCAGGCGACACGAGCTCTTGATCTCACGGGCATCCCGGAAAGCGTGGAGCCGCACGCAGGGCAGCCGGTCCGTGACATCGAAATCGTCCCAATCCCGGCCGGAGACGTAGAAGAGCACTTGGACCACGGGCTGGCTGGCCACCAGCCGGGGCTGGACGATGAAGGCGCGCACCTTCCAGTTGACGGTGAGGCGGTCGGGGACCTCCAAGGTGCTGGAGGGCTGCAACTGCTCCTTGGGCAGCACCAGCCCCGTGCTGAAGGGCCCCAGGGTGACGTTGAGGACGGGCAGCTCCTTGGTCTGGAAGACGACGAAGGGCTCTGCCCGTTGCAGCGGGGTGCTGCTGTTGCCCACCGGGCTGGCTCCCAGCTCCTTGAGGAAGAAGGCCAAGCGGGTGTTGGACAGGCGGTAGCTCACGGGCAGTGTGATAGCACCGGGGGGCTCGGCGGGCTCCGGGCTGGGGGGTGGCCCCTTGGCGTGGGCTGTGAAGGGAATGGAGAGTGCGGGTTAGTGTGGGGCATCCACCTCCAGAGCATCTCCTGAGCCCCAGAGCAGGGAGAGTGGACCCAGGCAGTGGTCCAGGCCTGCAGCAAGGAGTGGGGGCTTCAGCCCCCAGACCCATCACAAAGGCAGCAAGAGCCCTTCTCCCCTGCAACCCAAAGCCTCACAAGATGTTCCCAGGACCTCAGGCATCATTGTGCTTCCCGGGGGGTGGCTTCAGCCTCACCGAACCCACCCTGAGCATGGAATGCGGTGTCCAGCGAGGAGGGATGCTCAGGGGCTGCCCGAGGCTGGGTCAGGCTGTGTTGAAGCTGCATCCAACCTCAGTGTTGCCACTGGGGTGCCCACAGCACTGGTCTCCCACCCCACATCCATGCCAAGGTACCAGTTTGAAACAGCACAAACACACTCACAGAAATAAGGCATAACCAGCTACATCCCTGCTTCCAGCTGTGCAGGGAAAAGGATGCTGAGCTTCTCCAGAGGCTCACTACCAAAAATTAGGCAGGTCCAGGCTAATTTCTGGCTGGCAGTTCCCATGAAGTATCTATGATCAAGGCTTTCCTCCTGCTTTGAGCTCCCAGATCACACAAGCAAGGTGGCTAAATCAGTTCCTTCACCCCAGACCCACTCCATCCCCACGGGATCCTTGTAAGGGTGGTGTCATGGCCAGTCTGTCACCCATCATCCAACCAGGGGTGCAGTTGGGTAACATCCCTGGGTGCCAAAGCTGGCCTAGCCCCAAATTTTCCAGGCATGGACATGACCTGGTGGAAAAGTGCCGAAGATGACGTTGGTGCCACCTTGCACTAACCCCAGTAGCACCCAGACCTCATTTTGGTCCTTCTTTTTGACCGTTTTGCCTTAAAACCAAAGCAGAACAACCAGCAGGCAGGCGGAGCAGGCAGCCACTGCCAGCCACTGCCTCCCGAGGGATGGAGCTGCCCAAGCCCCTCGGAGGGAGCCGCTTATCCCTATGCCACAGGCAGCAAGAGGACAGAAACCCACGAGCATCTTCCTGCTGAAGCAGATGCTGCGGAAGGCGGCCGGAGCGGAGCCGAGCCGACGGCACGCACTGTGCCAGCAGCTGCGGGAGCCTGGAAGACATCTCAAGGTCTTTGCATCCACCAGCGGCTGCCAGCAATTCCCAGGAGCCCCGGGTCCCCCCCCCCGCCCTCCGCCAGCCCCATTCCCTGCACTGATTGTAATCGTTCCCAAGCGGCTCCCGAGCAGGAGAGCCCAAATTACCCGTGTCAAACAGCGGTGAAAGGTGCAGATGTGATGGCTCGGCTCCTGGGAACGGCTCAGCCCCATTCCCAGCCAGGGATGAGTATGTCGGGACAGCAAGGCTTTCCCCAGCAAGGACCATAGCCCGGGGCTGACGGAGAAGCAGGACCCCGCAGCCCACCCAGGGAACTCTGCTGCGGGGAGTTAAGCAGCTTAAAGGGCTCATAAAAGGATTAGCACTCGATAAGGAGCGGGGGGGCAGCATCCGCTGCTGAGCTGCCTGGGATGGAACTTGTCTGCGAGCCAGGCACAGAATTCCCTGGGGCAGGATGGATGCTGGGGATGCACGGCCAGCATCACCGGCACCACCGTGGGCACCGCTCCGGTGCCTGCCACGCTAACCCTGCCTGCTGCTGAGCGCATCCTGCTCTCCCGCTGTTTTCCCACCTCCTGGGGAGCCGGGAGCTGTAGGAGAGATGCCGAGCCTCAGGAAGCTCCCATGGGTGCCTCTCTGCTCAGAAATAACCATCAGCAAGGGGCTTTCTGCTCCTCTGGCTCGTGGAGGGTGTTTTCTGCTGCGGCATGTGAAGGTTCGCATCCTCCCTGCATCCCGGCTGGCACGGGCACGGCTGCTCCCGCCGTCCCTATCCATTAGAGAAGGATTTTTCCCAAGGCACCACGTTATTTGTGGAGTAAGATTTACCACCTGGAGCAACGCGAACCTGACCCCTTCATGAGGTACCGGCAGGACCGGAGGAGGCGGCGGCAGCCGGGGAAAGAGGCTTTGAAATAGCACCAGGTTTTAACCCTTAGAACCAGACCTGCAGCCATCAGCTCTTTCCTCCTTGCCGTGAGGATTCTCTGATGGCAAATAAGGGTTGTGCACCAGGAGGGGCAAGGAAAGGGACTCTCAGCTGGGGACCCTGTTCAACTCAGATAAAGCACCGCGGTGCCATGGGGAAACCCGGGTGGCTCCATCACCTAGCCCATGCACAGACCTGCACCCTGGCCATGCCAGACAGGGAAAAGCAGCAGGGACAAGCTGGGACGGAGATTAATGTGATGGTCATCATGAGTTCAGTGCAGGAGGATCGCTGGCACCCAGAGAAGCTATTTCGTTCCACAGACAAAATGCATTTAAACGATGCTATAATCTGTCGCCAGAAGGGGGACAGGACCGGCGCCTCCGTTCCTTGGCCATAAACTAATCCTGCCAGGAGAAGGGCCAATCCAGCCGCATCCAGCCCAGGGGGGATGCCAGGATCACAGCCCAGCCCGAGCCTCTGCGCCACAATGGGACAGAGGGAGGAGAGGGAGGGAGAAGGAAGGAGATGCACACATGTATGGATGCATGGCTGCTGCCTAGGTAGCAAGGAAGAAGGGTGGATAAGGATATTTGAACCAGCAGAGAGAACAGAGTATGTGTGGATGGATGGATGGATGGAAGGAGACAGGCAGATCAGGAATGGCTGGACAGCAAGAGAATAGCTCTAGGAAGAGGGAGAAGAAGGGATGGATAGGAGGACGGATGGAAGGTTATCACAATGGCTCAGGAGGTGGATGGATGGATGAACAGATGAATGGACAGTACAACAGTTTAGGAGATGGAAGGAAAATGAATGGAAGGAGAAGGATAGATGGAAATATGGGCAGACAAGCAAAACAGCTCAGGGGACTCCAGTGCCCACACCACTGTCCCCAGCCCCTGCCCTGGTTTCTAGCAGCCCCCAGGAGGGAACATGGCCCTCATTGCCCCCACTTCTGGGTGGATGTGGGGGACAGAAGGGTTAAACCCTGATCTCTGGCTCCAGTTAATGGGATTTGCAGTGCCTGACCTGCATCCCGTGTTTATTAGACCGGCGCAGACAGGACCATATGGTCCTTCCACCCTCGTAGCTTGGTACTGCAAGCAACAAAGCAGATCTCCATCCTGGGCCAGGCTCTGACCAGCCCGGGGCTGCCTGGATCCCCCTGGGGCTAAGGGACCACCCCAGCCCCATGGTGGGATGGGACCCATGTGTGTCCCCTCCTTCCCACCCCACAGCAGCACACTGGGGAGCTGGGATGACCTACAAGCCATTGTGGGAAGTGGGGAGAAGAGAGATGGAAACACGCAACTGCTGTGACCCCCTCACCAAGCCCCACATCTGCCCGGCCAGATGTGCCCCGTGCTGGCCACAGCCATGTGGCCAGATGTGCCAAACTGCTCTCCCTGGCCATGAGGGCACATGGAGACAGCAGCAGCACCTTCCTGCCCTGCCTTCAAATCAAGACCACCCTCCCCAGGCCAAGGGGTCCTGCTTGGCAAGGGCCCCACCATGGGGTTGTGGTCCCCAGCGGTCACCAGTGACCACCCCGGCCTGGAGATGCTGGGGTCGGACAGACTGATGGACACAAGGGAAGAGAGGCTGATGGACAGACTGGACATAGCTATGGCTGGTGGGAGGCACCAGCTCATTCGCTTGTCCCCTCCATCCTGCCCCTGCTGCAGCCTCACCAGCCCCATCCCTGCTCCCACCTACTGCTCCAAGGCCAAAGAGCCTCCTCCCCTTTCCCTTATCCATCATGGATAGCCAGTGCTGAGCTCCAGCTTAGCCCCAGCCCCAGCTGTCTGCCATAGGGATCACTTTAGCGATGCTCTGGGGGTGGATATTTATCCCAGCTTATCCCTTGGGACACAGCAGGGGATTCCCAGCACATATATCCCCACTTAGCAGAGGAAAAGCATATAGGAAAAGCACTGGAGAAGAGGGAAAGGAGGTTTGAGGTTGTGCCAGGAAGGTTAAAACTTCTCATGATGTTAGCAGGCAGCACTGGGGCTTGTGCATCAATGGACCAAACACAGCTCTGAGGGAGATACTGAAACACTGATGATGCAAGACCCCAGCCCCTTGTCTCCATAGATAACACCATAGATAACACCAGCCCATCTCCGCTGGGCTTCCAGGGTGGTTCCTCCTTGGAGCAAGCCAGGAAAGTTGTCCCTAAAGCAATGGTTGCATAGAATCCGAGATGGGTTGGAAGGGACCTTAAAGCTCATCCAGTTCCAGGGACCCCTCCCACTGGAGCAGCTTGCTCCAAGCCCCTGTGTCCAACCTGGCCTTGAACACTGCCAGGGATGGGGCAGCCACAGCTTCTCTGGGCACCCTGTGCCAGCGCCTCAGCACCCTCACAGGGAAGAGCTTCTGCCTAAGAGCTCATCTCAGTCTCCCCTCTGGCAGGTTAAAGCCATTCCCATTGTCCTGTCCCTACATCCCTTGTCCAAAGCCCCTCTCCAGGTTTCCTGTTCAAACCCAGCTCCTGAACAGAGTGACCAGGTGAAGATCCTGCCCTGAATCAGGGACATGAGGGCAGGACGTGCTGCTGCCTGTTTACCCGCATTGGTCAGCACCCAAATGAGACAATGGGGGGATGGATTCATCCGAAACACTCAGAGCCCCACAGCCCCTAAGAAGCAGGCCCACCCTGCTATTCCCCACCAAGCCACCGGCACAGATGTCCCAGTTGCCACTTCATTTCAAGCCTGCATAAAATCACCATGCTCTCCTGAGCATCCCACAGATTTTTGCCCCACAGCCACCAGGTCCCAGAGCGAAGGAGAAACACGGGCAGCAACAGTCCCAGATTCCAGGGATGTGGCACATCTGCAGCTCCCAGGGATGCTCCCAACATCTGGATGACCCAACAGCTGGCTGCTCCAGCTTGAGGCAGCCCCAGACTCACTCAGCATCTCCCCACTCAAACCAGAAGCAGG